TTTTTTTTTTTTTTTGAGACAGAGTCTCACTTTGTCGCCCTTGGTAGAGTGCTGTGACATCACAGCTCACAGCAACCTCTAACTCTTGGGCTTAAGCAATTCTCTTGCTTTAGCCTCCCAAGTAGCTGGGACTACAGGTGCTCACCACAATGCCAGGCTACTCTTTTGTTGCAGTTGTCACTGTTGTTTAGCTGGCCTGGGCCGGGTTTGAACCCACCAACCTCGGTTCATGTGGCCAGTGCTATAACCACTGTGCTATGGGCGCCAAGCCTGGATTGTTTTCTTTTTATTTTTGAGACAGAGTTGCACTATATTGCCCTTGGTGGAGTGCCGTGGTGTCCAGCCCAACCTCGAACTCTTGGGTTTAAGCAATTCTCTTCTCTCAGTCTCCCAAGTAGCTGGGACTATAGGCACTCACCACAACGTCCAGTTATTTTTTGAGATGAGGTCTCCCTCTGGCTTAGGCTGGTCTCCAATCTCTGAGCTGAGGCGATCCATCAGCCTTGGCCTCCCAAGTGTTAGGAGTACAGGCGTGAGCCACTGCATCAGGCACTACAAAGACTTATTTTTTATAAGTGAAAAAACAAACAAGAGGGGCAGCGCCTATTGGTCAGCTGGTAGGGAGCTATCCCCATATACTGAGGGTGGTGGGTTCAAACCCAGCCCCAGCCAAACTGCAACAAAAAAATAGCTGGGCATTGTGGCAGGCACCTGTAGTCCCAGCTACTTGGGAGGCTGAGGCAAAGCGAGTCACTTAACCTCAAGAGTTGGAGGTTGCTGTGAGCTATGTGATGCCACAGCACTCTACTGAGGGCAATAAAGTGAGATTCTGTCTCTAAAAAAGAAAAAAACAAGAAAAAAAAACCTTGCCATGGGTAGCGCCTGTGGCTGAAAGGAGTAGGGCACTGGCCCCATATGCTGGAGATGGTGGGTTCAAACCCAGCCCCGGGCCAAAAACTGCAGGAAAAAAAGAAAAATTTTTTTCTTTTAGTGACTATTGAAAATGGTAGGTAGTTAGGGCTCAGCACCGATAGTACAGTGGTTATGGTGCCAGCCACATACACTGAGGCTGGTGGCTTTGAACTCAGCCCGGGACAGCTAAACAACGACAACTACAACAAAAAATAGCCAGGCAATGTGGTGGGTACCTGTAGTCCCAGCTACTTGGGAGGCTTAGGCAAGAGAATCAATTAAGCCCAAGAGTTTCAGGTTGCTGTGAGTTGTTGACACCACAGCACTCTACCAAGGGTAACACAGTGAGACTCTGTCTCAAAAAAAAAAAAAGGGGTGGGGGAAGAATAAGAAGATGGTAGTTAGGAGTAATCCTAATATTGTGCAAGCTTTCTGTTGAGAAAACTAATCAACTTTACTGAAAAAATGTTATGGATCTAAAAGTTTTCAGGTGGTGCCCATAGCTCAGCGGTAGGGCACCAGCCACATACACCGAGGTTGGTAGATTTGAACCCAGCCCGGGTCAGCTAAAAACAACAATGACAACTGCAACAACAACAAATAGCTGGAGGTTGTGGCAGGTGCCTGTAGTCCTAGGTACTTGGGGGGCTGAGATAAGAGAATTGCTGAAGCCCATGACTTTGAGGTTGCTGTGAGCTGTGACGTCACAGCACTCTACTGAGGGTGACAGCCTGAGATACTGTATCAAAAAAGTTTTTGATGTGTAGAAAAATTAAATATTGTGAACTATTCCTACACTGAAAAGACCCAAGAGAGTCATAAAAGTAGTTAAAGAAGAAAAAAGTCAAAGCTAAAGAAGACATGAGAACTAAATGTAACTGGAATTGCATTCCCCAGATCTCTATAATACTCAGTGGCTAAACCACACAAAAAAGCCAATACTTAGGAGGAAACGAAAAATAAAAAGGTAATAAACACTAAACTAGACACATCAGCAGCTGCATGCTGCAGGGAAGTCCAGGAAAACTACTTTTATGAAAATAAAAATAGGTTAGGTACAGTGGCTCATTCCTATAAACCTGGTACTCGGGAGTCCAAGGTGGGTAATTGCTTGAGCTTTGGGTTCAACACCAGCCTTGGAGGAAGTGAGACAGATCCCATCTCTACTAAAAATAGAAGAATTAGCCAGGTACCAGCCTCTTGCAGGTACTCAAGAGGCTAAGGTAGGAGAATTGCTTGAGCCCAGGAGTTTGAGGTTGTTGTCAAATATTACTCTAGCCTAGGCAACAGAGTGAGACTCTATCTCAAAAAAATAAAAATAGGCTCAGTGCCTGTGACTCACACGGCTAAGGCGCCAGCCACATACACCTGAGCTGGTGGGTTTGAATCCAGCCCAAGCCTGCCAAACAATGACAGGTGCAACTAAAAAACAGTGGGGCATTGTGGCAGGTGCCTGTAGTTCCAGCTACTTGAGAGGCTAAGGCAGTAGAATCGCTTGAGCCCAAGAGTTGGAGGTTGCTGTGAGCTGTGAAGCCATAGCACTCTACCCAGGGTGACAGCTTGAGGCTCTGTTTCAAAAAAAATAAAATAATAAAATAAAAATAAAGAAAATAACAGAAACTCTCAGGAAAATAAATAAAATTCAGAGTTCCTAGATTATGTAAAATATCTAATTTTCTTTTCTTTTTTAAATAGAGCCTCAAGCTGTCCCCCAGGGTAGAGTGCCGTGGCATCACAGTTCATAGCAACCTCCACCTCCTGGGCTCAAGCGAGTCTCCTGCCTCAGCCTCCCAAGTAGCTGGGACCACAACACCCGGCTATTTTTATTTTGGTGGCAGCCGTCACTGTTGTCTGGTGGGCCCAGGCTGAATTCGAACCCTCCACCTTACATGCATGTGGCTGGCGCCTTGAACCACAGGTGCTAAGCCAAAATATCTAATTTTCAACAAAAAAGTGATAGGACATGCAAAGAAACAAGAAAATATAACCTTTGACCATAAGGCAAAAAACACTATAAATAGAAACTGATTCTGAGTGGGCCAGGTATTAGATTTGCAAATATGCTCAAGGAACTAGAGGAAATTAAGTTCAAAGATTTAAAGGAAAATATGTTAATACTTAGTCAACAACAGAGAATCTCAAGAGAAACTATAAAACAAAAATGGAAATTCCTGAGTTGAAAATACAAAAACTGAAATGAAACACACATTAGAAGGGGTAAGTGGCAAATTTGAATAGAAAAAAAAGAGTATGTGAACTAGAATACAGATACAGATATGTAGACAGAAATTATCCAATCCAAGCACAAAGAGAAGACTGAAAAAAATGAACATTTCACAAGACTCGTGGATAATATCAAGCAATCCACCATATAAATAATGCAAACTCTAGAAAGAAAGGGATGGAAAACAATATATATAAGAAATAAAAAAAGAAGAAATAATGAAGTGCTTCCAAATTCGATGAAAAACTTGAATCTATAATCTAAGAAGCTCAATAAATCTCAACTAGGATTAAATCAGAGAGAACTACCTGAATATATCCTTGTCAAATTAAAATTGAAAGACAATGGGGGCAGCGCCTGTGGCTCAGTGAGTAGGATGCTGGCCCCATATAACAAGGGCAGTGGGTTCAAACCCAGCCCTGGCCAAAATGCAACAAAAAGTAGCTGGGTCTTGTGGTGGGTGCCTATAGTCCCAGCTACTCAGGAGGCTGAGGCAAGAGAATTGCCTAAGCCCAAGAGCTAGAGGTTGCTGTGAGCTGTAACACCACAGCACTCCACTGAGGGCGACAAAGTGAGACTTTGTCTCTAAAAAAAAAGAAGGAAAGACAAAAAGAAAATCTTAAAACCAGCAAGACTATAATCACATACATGGTAAAATATAATTTCATCTGACTTTTCATCAAAATTAATGGAGGCCAAAAAGCACTGGAATAGCACATTTGAAGTGTTGAAAGAAAACTGTCAATCAAGAATTCTATATCCCAGGCTCGGCGCCTATAGCTCAATTGGCTAAGGCACCAGCCACGTACACCTAAGGTGGCGGGTTCGAATCCCCAGCCCGGACCCGCCAAACAACAATGACGGCTGCAACCAAAAAATAGCC